AAAAAAAAAAAAAAACCCCATTTTTCCCCCCCCCCCCCCCGTTTTTTTTTCCTCTAAAGTTTTGCCACACTAATATTTTCATTGACAACTTTGCTTTCGTCTCTAAGCCAAATGTGTGTTCATTTCCTTTAATGTTGTGTTCGGCATTAGGCAAATGCGTTGATTAAGTGGTAGGCAGGTTGTGGGCAGCTGTGATACTATCACCTGACGTCATTTTGTAACCACGTTTGTATTTATATTTTATATGGGTTATCGGGGGTGGGGGTGGGTGGGGGTTGATTATCTGTTTGTTTGTATGTTTATTGTGACTGGAGCTCTTATGAGACGTGGTGAGCCATGCAGTAGTTGTCCTTATTGCTCCTGATGGTGGGCTGCTCCCAGAGTGTGGCGTAATGTTTAGCACGGGGCAGTAGAATCATTGCTGTAGGTCCCGCTGAGCTCCACTTAAACAACCTTGCTGCCGAAAAATATCTTGATCAACTTATCTTTGAAGGCACCATTGCCTTATCTGCACCAAGCCATGGTTGCGACCATTGCTCGTGCGCGTCCAAAGAAGACCACGGTTCTGCTGTACCCAATTGGCACATCCAGTGGCGTAGCGAGGGTTAGCTCTACCAGGGCCGGGCCGATAATTTTGCCTCCCCATTTCCATAAAAAATCATTCAGTTGGTCGGAAATGCCGCCCATTCATTTAAAATATAAGGTACCAAAAAAAAAAAATTGCCACCGGGGCTTACCAAGCCCTCCACATCCGCCTTCCTACGTCCCTGGCAACATCACAATGACCACTACAATGGCCTGCATTTTCTTGATCTTATACTAATAAAAGGCAAAGCCCTCATTCACTGACTCATCACAATTTCTCCAACTTCCCCTGTAGATAGAAGCCTGAAATTTAGCAGGCGTATTCCTTACAGCTTACTTCCAAAGGTTAAGCAGATTTTATTTCCAAACTCTGTACTGTTTGTCGTTTTCTTTCCTATATGAGCTATTTAAATAAATAATAGTGACATACACTACAAACCGTTGGCATTGTTTACATGAAGGATTGATTTTCGCAAGGGAATGCATTGTATAGTCTCCGTAATATGTGGATACTTGATAAATTCTTAACTTTTTATCTTCTTCTTCTATATCTTAAGGGCCCACGATCAATTTATTCATCATTTTGGCTCCTATGCATGTAGATGGGATTTGCAATGTTTCTGTGCTTGGTGTTGATGAGGAAATTTTACTGATTTCCAGTGCCACTTTGTGAGGAAATCATGCACTAGGGGTTTGAAGGCTTGAGACAATAGACACAAATGTGTATAGTGTTGTCGCCTCAACTGTTCCTTTTGAAAGATTGTTCTAGTCCCTGATTGTCTTGGGCAGGAATGAGCAGCTCCTATACTAGCTTCTTGCTGGTATTTATTTATTTATTTATTTAGGCATTTTTATATAGCGCTTATCATAAAGCTCTAAGCGCTTTACAATTATTAAAACATGTAAACTAAGTAAATACAAATGAGACACTAGGATAGTAACTACTATTCTATAGAAACAATGAAAATGGCTATAAAAAGAGGACACTTTGACACTTCAGGATTAAACCGAAACAGAAAATTAGGTAGGGCAAGGAGGGTGCATCACAGGTCATAGGCGGACCTAAACAGATGAGTTTTAAGGGACTTTTTGAAAATGGACGAGGTTTCACTATGACGTATATGGAAGGGGAGCTGGTTCCAGAACGTGGGCCCATGGAAGCAGAAGGAGCGTTCACCGATGGTCTTAGTTTTAGTTCTTGGGATTGAGAGGGTTCTACTGTCAATGGAAGAACGTAGTTGTCTTGTGGGGATGTAAGGAAGCAACAGTTCAGAGAGATAGACAGGAAAGTGAGGGTCAGTGAACGAGTTGAAGCAAAGATTGGCAGACTTGTATTTGATGCGAGAGGATATTGGAAGCCAGTGGAGTTGCCGCATGTGTGATTGAATGTGGTCATGTTTCTTTGATTTAAAAATGAGTCTGCATGCTGAGTTCTGTGCCTTCTGAAGTTTTTCTATGTGGTGTTGAGGAATGCCTGAGAGAAGAATGTTACAGTAGTCAAATTTTGAAAGAATGAGTGAAGAGACGAGAGTTTTTGTGGCATCAAAGGGTATGAGCCTGAATTGCCTGTCATGGCCTCGTCGCTGTCTATGGGGGAGAAGGACGAGTTTCTGTTTAATACTGGAACAGTGGACCAGCCCATTATTTATCTTGTACATCGTGGAGAGCCTGGATTGTCGTCGTCGTTCCTCCAATGGTGACCAGCCTAGTGTTTCTAGCATGCTGCAAACACTAGAGGTATTCCTGTAGTGGTTTAGGACAAAGTGTGCTGTTCGTCGCTGGACCGCCTCCAACCTGTCAATGCTCTTCTGGGTAAATGGGTCCCAGACTGAAGATGCATAATCTAAAACCGGACGGACAAAGGCTTTATATGCTCTTTCTTTCACACAGGAGTTGCCAATCTTTAGATTACGCCTTAAGAACCCCAGGTCTTGTTTGCTTGGTTACATACATTGTTAATATGATCGTCCCAGCGGACCTCTCTTTGAATGGTAACACCCAGGTACTTAAAAAAAAACAATCTTCTCTTATATACTAGCGAGAACCTGGCATGCGTTGCAATGTCACTCAAAGAAAAAAAGTTTTTGAGTTTTAATAAGGTTTTTTAAGTACACATGTACTTTTAAATAGAATTTTTTTTGTTTTGTTTTTTACGTTCGGTGCGTGCACAAATAAATAAAACTAGTTTTTGGAAGCCTGAGCAGGAAACATACAACTGTGCACGTGAGAAACATGGGTTTTTTAAATTTAGTAAACACAATTGTAGCGATTGTTCCATCCATTCAGTAGCTCTGTTTGAAATTATATTTATATAGGTCACATACAAAAAAAAAAATAAGGCCCCCAGCCCCAAACTCAAAATTGTAAAATGGTTGTTTTAATTCAGACGCCCACTTATTATCTCACACACAAACTGAAATGTCGCTTGTATTTGATTCAATTCCATCCACCCATGCAATAACTTGGTTTGATATTAGATGTCTATAGTTCATGTAAGAAAAAGATAATTAATTAATATTTCAAAAGGGGAAACATAATTCAGAAACCTTTTCGGGCGGGCGCTCAACAGCTTACCAAAGTTTTATCGCAATCGGATGAATGTTATAGGAACGCGTACTGAAATTATACTTAGCTCACAAAGAAAAAAAAAAGAGAATTTAGGGTGTAAAATAGTACACTTTCCCCGTGCGTGAACGTTGCTTGACCCCAAATTAGATTCCTAGCACACGCTGCGTTCATAGATGGGCGTGGCTTAGTCCTTTGATCTGTCGTGTTTACTGCCGATTATCAATTAAACATGGTTAATTTGTCTCCTAGTACCTTGTGGAACTTTCCCGATCGACGAGAAACGTAAACAATGTCAAAGGCGTTTCTGGACGCGTCGGTAGACCCACTCCATAAATAAGGGGTTTGCGAGATTCAGAGAGATTGATTGATATTTTTATATTCACGAGACGTGTCTTATTCTTTGTGTACTCATAATGTGTTTGTTCGCATCCGTCATTGTACATTATTAATTGGCACATTGTAATAATTATGTACCGGTACAAGATTTGCCCATACTCTGTAAGTTGATGATTTATAAATATAATTCTTTTCTTTTTTTTTTATTGTATTATTACTAAATTAAATCTTATTAATTGTAATTGGTACTGTTTTGGGTGTCGTATTTTTGGTTATTGTATTTCTCTGTGGTATCGTCCTTCGTTGTGCACTGTTTGAACGAGCCATACTTTAAAACAAGAGATTCATTTCTAACAGTAGAAACCAGTGCATAAGAAGGGCCCCGGGCCCAAAATTCATTCTGAGGCTTATCTTGTGCTGCCTTGGGCTGTTGAAACTATCGTTTAATCCCCTGCCCCCCTCCCCCCCCCAAAAAAAAAACATAAAACGACACAGTGGTTGAAAACAAAAATTATCCACCCCCCCCCCTCACTTACGCAAAAACATTTTTGTTTTCCTTTCACTTGCGTTGTTCTTATTTGGATGAGTGATACGTGCATTAGTGAATGCTATTTGGATTAGGTAGTTTTTTTTCTGCACTGATTGCATGAAACGGCATTTTCGTTTTAAACGTATATTTTAATGTTAAGTTTTTTAACACTTTATAACTTTGATTAAAGTTTTTTTTTTATTATTAGAAAGAATAAAATGTAAAAACTTATTCAATGTTAAAAATTTAAAGCTAAGGTTTTATTTAATTTTAGAAAATGTTTGCAATTTAAAAGCTATCTCTTATTTTATTAATTTTACTTTTAAGAAAGGAAAAAAAAAATATTATCAGTTTTTTTTACGCGAGGTTATAAAATCAAAGAAACTTAGAGCTGTGGCTTAAATAGGCAATCGCGCGATGACGTCATTTGCGTAATTATTTAAATCAAATTACTTTTATTTTTATTTCGCAATATTAAGAAAACACTAAAATGCGCACTAAGATTAACAGATGTTTGAGTTTCCCCGATAAATGGGATTAAGATGCGATTCTTATATCATAATATTTTAATACATTTTTTTTTCACAACTTTTGCGTTCGGATAAGATGCTTAAATAGTTCCTTATTTGATACTTTAAATATGTTTGTAATTTATTATAACCATACTTAAACTTTTACTAAAATAAAAGCGCATTTTAAAAAAAAATTTACGCATTTAAATTTATTCGATTTCCGCAAAATAATAGAAAATAACTATGATTTTTTTTTAGGAATCCGAACGTACTTAAATCGTATGGGTTCTTTGGCGTTATGTCACTTTAGGTCATTGTTATATATATATTATTACGCTTCTGGTGTGACTCGTGGACTGCTTCCTAATGGACTGCTTCCTAATAGACTGCTTCCTAATGGACTGCTTCCTAATCAGCAAATTTGGTATGAAGAGTAGATTAGAAATAATTAAAAATTTTTGAATTAAAGTTTGGTTCACTAGTGAGTTCAATAGCGCGAAAATATAATTCCCGATAACTATGCGATTGGTGCAAAAAAATTTTTTTTTTTCGTAAAATGAAATCGTCTCAATTTAAGCGTTGTGTAAAAAAATATTCGGCTGAAAAGTGGTTGGGACATCAAAATATTTAATAGAGTTCATGGGCGTGAAATTAAAAGGGTCCATGGGGGGGGGGGGGGGAGGGGGGTAGCAAAATTTGGAATTCTTAAATGTGCGTTACTTGAGTTCATGTTTTGTCAAGTAACTTTAGTGGACGGTAAGAGCATGCATTGTGGGGGGGGGGGGAGGAGGGGTGTAGCAAAATTTGGAATTCTTAAATGTGCGTTACTTGAGTTCATGTTTTGTCAAGTAACTTTAGTAGACGGTAAGAGCATGCATTGCTGTCACCAATGTTTTGCGGGCTGTATCTAGTAGAGATATTTGTGTTATCTCACAAAATTTCGTAAAGAGATACATTTGACCAGGTGTTTCACATACCTAATTACAGCCCTACCTGAGCCCTGATGATGTTGATGATGCTTATGATGATGAGGTTGAAGATGATGGTAAGGATGATGAAGATTATGATGGTGTTTATGATAATGATGATGATTTCATGATGATGATGATGATGCTGACGGTGAGGGTGATGGTGGTAATGAGTGCGATTATGATTACGATGACGATGATGGTGATGATGGTGATGACGATAATGGTTATGATGGTGATCATGATGGTAAATACCTTCATGTTTGGTAACGGCTTAATTGAAAATGGGAATTTCAAAAGCCCAAGGGCAAAGTTCGTATTCTTCACTACTGTATATTCTCTCGCTCTCTCTCTCTCTCTCTCTCTCTCTCTCTCTCTCTCTCTCTCTCTCTCTCTCTGTCTCTCTCTCTCTCTCTCTCTCTCTCTCCAGCATAGTATTACTCATTTGAACACATCATTTAGTAAGCTACCCTTTTGTTTAATACATTTGGTACAATGATTAAGAAGGTTAAGAAGAAGATAATGGTTACGAATTCTACAAATAGACAACTGATTGTTTCTCATCTAAGTCCAAGCCTGGCATGACATTTCTGAACATGTTGTCTGACGTCATATAGTTCCCTGAAGGTTCCCAGGGGTTTCTACTTCCGTCCTCCTCTAGCTGCTCCCGATCTGTAGTCATAGCCACTTTTGACTGTCGTCGCGGGGGCTGATGTGCTATTGACCAGCGGTTCTAACACTGAGTGCTGAAGATAAGGGTCTGTGTCGGGAAAGGGGGACCCTAGCACAACAGCAGCAATCAGACACGTCAACAGCACGAGGCGAGCAGCAGCAGCAGCAGAAGACATTGCTGTGAAGAAAGCGGGAATTTGTTGTGTTAAAATACCGTGGCTACAAACTTTAAAGTTACAATTGTAATCATGGTGGCTACAGTCAGTGAGTTTCACACACTAATATTACAATCTTGGATTTGACGTTATTAAAGAATATTTGTTTTTACGATCAAAGTTGTGAGCACTGTTAGACCCCATGATGTAACCAGGAGCGTATTTCTAGATACATGGGCGTAACAGTTAAAAGGGGTAATGGTGAAACTTAAGATGTTCTCATTTCATGACTTGATTCCTCTAGACTTAGTTCAAAACAACAACAGAAATGATACTTTTCTCAGAAAGCACGTGTTCTTCAGAAAGCACTGACTTGTTATTTGGGGGGGGGGTGTTGTTGTTTTTTCCCCAGAAAACTGCTGTTTTACTGAAATATTTGGCGCGATAAATCTGTGATATCAAAGCAGAGGTTGGGGGGGGGGGCATTAAAATATTACTATAGCTTTGATGCCATGGGGTATGGTTAGGATGGTGGTTAAGCACGAATTTGGGAATGTTAAAGAGTGAGTTCTTTGAATGCATGATTTTTCAAGTCCCTTTAGCAGCTGAGACGTTTCCGCATTGCCACCATCAATGTTTTGAGGGTTATAACTTGTCCAAACTAAATATTAAAAACATGACAGTAGTGTTGACAAGTGGGTCGCCCTGAAATAAATTGTTAAAAAAATAATCAATTAAAAATCTTTCCCTGCTCAGAATGTCAAGTATTTACCTTCCCTTACAACACTAGAGCCAACAACCGAGTATTAGCGCGTATAAGCCGAGACATTGTGGGTGCAACAAATGATTCTTTACTAAACTAAGACTTTCCATTATATGTGCATATAAGAAATTAGTTTTATTGTCGGTAAACTACATATACTCAAGCCAACGGCCTACGCAGCCCATCCTCTAAACCACATGTGTAAAACTCAAAGCCCGCGGGCCACATCCGGACCGCCGTAAAATTTTATCAGGCCCGGGAGGTCTCGACCGGCGTACAATTATATCCACGCCAACGCTATGGTGTTTCCCAATGCACACTTTGCTGAAAAACTTAGCTTACTTCGCGTCGAGTTCGCACGGTGCTTTAGGGACTTTGAAGCACAGAAAAGTAATTTCAAGCTGTTTCGTAACCTATTCGTCATAGACGTGGAAACTGCACCTGTAAATTTGCAGATGGAGCTAATAGAGCAGCATTGTAATGGGACACTAAAGGCAAAGTACGACACAGTTGGGCCTGCGCAGCTCACTCGATTCATTCCTGAAAAGATGTCCCAGCTTCGTCTACATGCGGCTCGAAACTTGAAAATTGTTGGTAGCACGTGTGTGAACAGCTTTTTTCTGTAATGAAGATTAACAAAACATCACACAGGAGTCATCTTACTGATCAACACTCGCAGTCCAGTAAGAGAATCTCAATGACACAGAATGGCACTCCCAAAATAAACGAACTTACTTGTTTACGTAGCCAATAAATGTGCCAAACATCCAGCTCTGACATATTGGCGTAAGAACGAAAAACGAACTATTAAAACAATTTTCAGTTTTCATTTAGATATATATGTCTTCAAAAAAAGATTACTTTTTCGCTTACTGAATGTTTATCCTGTTCGGCCCGCAACCTTACTTGAGATTTCGGCTCGCCGAGCGATTGAGTTTGACACCCCTGCTTTAAACACATTCGCGACAGACGTCCGGGCGCTTATCGTATCGATAGAAACACCAGCTTTGTGAATGTATAGCTAACCTGAAACAGTTGATAGTGCAGAGCTATCATAAAGAGAGTTGATAGTGCAGAGCCATCCTAAAACAGTTGAAAGTCCAGAGCCATCCTAAAACAGTTGATTGTCCAGAGCCACCCTAACACAGTTGATACAGTGTGTCTGTCGCCCAGGTCGAGCGTCCTAGCAATTGATTATTTCAAAAACTCAAAATGAGGTTACAAAATGCTTGGCGGCCTGGTACCTCGAATGGCCTTGACATTGATGGATACAATGTCCATCCAGACGGAAACGACCCTGCACATCGACTGTTGTCTCCCTTACATATAAAAGAGAATAAAACAGATTATCGCAGTAATCACCTCCAAAGACTAATCCGACGAAATGTAAATATGTTCCTTATTTAACGAATAAAAGAGAATACATTGTTAGAACAGTTTTTCCTAATGTAACCTTCAGAGCGCTTTAGAGGAACGCTAGTTGAAAGATTCATTTGAAGAACGTTGGTGGAAAAGGCGTACATTCTAACTTGTTTGACTTCAGATTGAAGACTTGTGTGTAACATATTGCTCTCTAACTAGTTTACCTTCACCTTGAAGACTTCTGTGTAACGCCGTACTCTCTAACTAGTTTAATTTCAACTTAAAAACTTTTGTATAACGCCGTACTCTCTAACTAGTTTAACTTCAACTTCAAAACTTCTGTATAACGCCGTACTCTCTAACTAGTTTAACTTCAACTTGAAGACTTATGTGTAACGCCGTACTCTCGAACTAGTTTACCTTCAACTTGAAGACTTCCGTGTCGTAAATAAATTCTAAATACAAAGCAAAATATTTCTTAACAATCTTTCCATGGTTATTCTCCTCTATTTATAGGTTTGGTCTTCTTTCGATGGATTCAGTTTTAATCCCACTGTTCAGTCATTGTTTCCGATGGTCCGTGAAATTAAAATCTAGTGAGAAGATTATATCATGACAAGATCATATCCATACAAGATCATATCCGACATTTTTACCAACCACTGACTAACTGCTCTTCCCCAAAGTACAAATCCTGGTCCTCTCTGCTTGTAATCTGCTCAAATCTCGTGACCTAAATACACACAGCTTGTTCTCAACGTCTTGTTGGATTAAATTCAAATCATTCAATTTAAAACATTGGCGTAGGAAAGGTGGGAACGGAAAAGTTGGGGGGGGGGGGTGGTGCCGACCCGATGGCACATTTTTTTTTTATATGGAGGAGGTTGCCATTTGAACCCAAACACGTTGTGTTTTTTTTTACGTGGATTAAAAAAAAGGGGGGGGGGGAATAGTGTGGCAAGTACCCTACATACGCCACTGATATATTGTGTGCAATAAGGTATGTTGAAAAGTTGGTGGGGGGGGGGGTGGTGCCGCCCCGATGGCACATTTTTTTTTTATATGGAGGAGGTTGCCATTTGAACCCAAACACGTTGTGTTTTTTTTTACGTGGATTAAAAAAAAGGGGGGTGGGGAATAGTGTGGCAAGTACCCTACATACGCCACTGATATATTGTGTGCAATAAGTTATGTTGAAAAGTTGGGTTTTGTTACAGAAACAAAAGAGAGATGTCAATGCCCCGTTTGCACACTGAACGATGAGATCAAGGGCTGTGAAGCTAGAACAAAGATACTTCAATGATTGGACCAAGGCATTTGATAGGACGAGATATGCGCAGAAAGAGAATTTCGACATTGACGAAAACAAGCAGGTGTCGTGGAAAATAATGACTGAGATGGTTGAGAAAAGCTAGACTAAGTTACTTGCTAGTCACACATGATCTTACGGCTGGACCCACCTTAAACAACGTACAGCTGGACCAACTATAAACAACTTACAGCTGGACACACCATAGACAAGGTACAGCTGGACACACCATTAACAACTTACAGTTGGACCCACCATAAACAACTTACAGCTAGACCCACTATAAACAAGGTACAGCTGGACCCACCATGAACAAGGTACAGCTGGACACACCATAAACAAAGTACAGCTGGACACACCATAAACAAGATACACCTGGACTGACCATAGACAAGGTACAGCTGGACCCACCATAGACAAGGTACAGCTAGACATACCATAAACAAGGTACAGCTGGACCAATCATAAACAACTTACAGCTGGACACACCATAAACAAGGTACAGCTGAACCCACAATAAACAAGGTACAGCTGAACCCACCATAAACAAGGTACAGCTGGACACACCATAAACAAGGTACAGCTGGACACACCATAAACAAGGTACATCTGGATACACCATAAACAAGGTACAGCTGGAGACACCATAAACAAGGTACAGCTGGACACACCATAAACAAGGTACAGCTGGAGACACCATAAACAATGTACAGCTGGACTCACCATAGACAAGGTACAGCTGGACCCACCATAGACAAGGTACAGCTGGACCAACCATAAACAACTTAAAGCTGGACACACCATGAACAATGTACACCTGAACCCACCATAAACAAGGTACAGCTGGACAAACCATAAACAAGGTATAGCTGGACCCACCATAAATAAGGTACAGCTGGACCCACCATAAACAAGGTACAGCTGGAGACACCATAAACAATGTACAGCTGGACTCACCATAGACAAGGTACAGCTGGACCCACCATAGACAAGGTACAGCTGGACCAACCATAAACAACTTAAAGCTGGNATTGTTTCTATCTACAGCTAAAGATTGTTTCTATCTACAGCTAAAGATTGTTTCTATCTACAGCTAAAGATTGTTTCTATCTACAGCTAAAGATTGTTTCTATCTACAGCTAAAGATTGTTTCTATCTACAGCTAAAGATTGTTTCTATCTACAGCTAAAGATTGTTTCTATCTACAGCTAAAGATTGTTTCTATCTACAGCTAAAGATTGTTTCTATCTACAGCTAAAGATTGTTTCTATCTACAGCTAAAGATTGTTTCTATCTACAGCTAAAGATTGTTTCTATCTACAGCTAAAGATTGTTTCTATCTACAGCTAAAGATTGTTTCTATCTACAGCTAAAGATTGTTTCTATCTACAGCTAAAGATTGTTTCTATCTACAGCTAAAGATTGTTTCTATCTACAGCTAAAGATTGTTTCTATCTACAGCTAAAGATTGTTTCTATCTACAGCTAAAGATTGTTTCTATCTACAGCTAAAGATTGTTTCTATCTACAGCTAAAGATTGTTTCTATCTACAGCTAAAGATTGTTTCTATCTACAGCTAAAGATTGTTTCTATCTACAGCTAAAGATTGTTTCTATCTACAGCTAAAGATTGTTTCTATCTACAGCTAAAGATTGTTTCTATCTACAGCTAAAGATTGTTTCTATCTACAGCTAAAGATTGTTTCTATCTACAGCTAAAGATTGTTTCTATCTACAGCTAAAGATTGTTTCTATCTACAGCTAAAGATTGTTTCTATCTACAGCTAAAGATTGTTTCTATCTACAGCTAAAGATTGTTTCTATCTACAGCTAAAGATTGTTTCTATCTACAGCTAAAGATTGTTTCTATCTACAGCTAAAGATTGTTTCTATCTACAGCTAAAGATTGTTTCTATCTACAGCTAAAGATTGTTTCTATCTACAGCTAAAGATTGTTTCTATCTACAGCTAAAGATTGTTTCTATCTACAGCTAAAGATTGTTTCTATCTACAGCTAAAGATTGTTTCTATCTACAGCTAAAGATTGTTTCTATCTACAGCTAAAGATTGTTTCTATCTACAGCTAAAGATTGTTTCTATCTACAGCTAAAGATTGTTTCTATCTACAGCTAAAGATTGTTTCTATCTACAGCTAAAGATTGTTTCTATCTACAGCTAAAGATTGTTTCTATCTACAGCTAAAGATTGTTTCTATCTACAGCTAAAGATTGTTTCTATCTACAGCTAAAGATTGTTTCTATCTACAGCTAAAGATTGTTTCTATCTACAGCTAAAGATTGTTTCTATCTACAGCTAAAGATTGTTTCTATCTACAGCTAAAGATTGTTTCTATCTACAGCTAAAGATTGTTTCTATCTACAGCTAAAGATTGTTTCTATCTACAGCTAAAGATTGTTTCTATCTACAGCTAAAGATTGTTTCTATCTACAGCTAAAGATTGTTTCTATCTACAGCTAAAGATTGTTTCTATCTACAGCTAAAGATTGTTTCTATCTACAGCTAAAGATTGTTTCTATCTACAGCTAAAGATTGTTTCTATCTACAGCTAAAGATTGTTTCTATCTACAGCTAAAGATTGTTTCTATCTACAGCTAAAGATTGTTTTTGTTCTTATCTAAAGAATGTTTTTTCTGTCCTTGGACAAGAATTTCTCTGTCTATTGTCAAAGCATGTTTTAATGTATAGCTAAAGAATGTTTCTGTCTATAGCTAAAGAAGATTTCTGTCTATCTCTAAAGTCACGTTCTGTCCGTCTCTAAAGAATTTGTTTACCTATAGCTTAACATTGTTTCCTATTACTTCATCTACAGGTTATTACATCAAAGTAGAGCTGAGGTCTATACAATGTTCAAAGAAAACTGATCATAATTGTATGTAAATTTTTTTATAAAATTAAGTGTTGAAGCGTTTATCTCCATAGCTTCTAACAATTTGAGGTCATTGACCTATTGAAAGATGGTTTTTAGGGTTTCTTAAGGGTAGGTCACGTGATACTAGTTTTCTGTCAGTTTACATGACTAGAAGAAAGGATGATTGATTAGCAAAATAAGATGAAAAAATTGACTTTTTAATTGTTGTATTTTTTACACTGTACAAAATCTCGTTTCCAATCATTAACGAGATAAAGCTTGAATCAAAAATCAATTTCTGAATCTCGCACATACACAATAGAATTGCACTTTCAAAAATACTAATACTCCAACATATTCAACAATACTAATACTCTCACATATACAACAGTACTAATACTCTCACATATACAACATTACAAACACACCCACATATACAACAATGCTAACACTCCCACATATACAACAATACGAACACTCACACATATACAACAATACGAATACTCCCACATATACAACAATACGAACACTCCCACATATACAACAATACGAACACTCCCACATATACAACAATACGAATACTCCCACATATACAACAATACGAACACTCCCACATATACAAAAATACGAATACTCCCATATATACAACAATACGAACACTCCCACATATACAACAATACGAATACTCCCACATATACAACAATACGAACACTCCCAAATATACAACAATACGAATACTCCCACATATACAACAATACGAACAATCCCACATATACAACAATACGAATACTCCCACATATACAACAATACGAACACTCCCACATATACAACAATACGAATACTCCCACATATACAACAATACGAACACTCCCACATATACAACAATACGAATACTCCCACATATACAACAATACGAACACTCCCACATATACAACAATACGAATACTCCCACATATACAACAATACGAACACTCCCACATATACAACAATACGAATACTCCCACATATACAACAATACGAACATTCCCACATATACAACAATACGAATACTCCCACATATACAACAATACGAACACTCCCACATATACAACAATACGAACACTCCCACATATACAACAATACGAATACTCCCACATATACAACAATACGAATACTCCCACATATACAACAATACGAATACTCCCACATATACAACAATACGAACACTCCCACATATACAACAATACGAACACTCCCACATATACAACAATACGAATACTCCCACATATACAACAATACGAATACTCCCACATGCAAATGGTACCGAGTCCGTTTTTGTTTAAAATGAGTTAGTGCCCTTTTCTTAATCTATTGTTTTAAATACACATGAATCTGAAATAGTGCCACCACCACCGTCTCATATGGCACGCCCTTGAACAATGATTAAATTATATTTCCCCCCCCCCCAAATTTACATGACAGATTTATTACATCAATTGCTGTAGCCCTCCACATGTTACGCCACTGACCGGCGCTTTGGGTTTGATTTCAATTCACGCCGATGATCGAATTCCGCCCCTGGGCGCTGTTTTCAGACTTTTATTGAGGAGAGGTGGGGGTGGGGGGTTGCAATTTGTACTTTTTAGTGCCATATGTGTAAAAAAAAAAAAGAAAAAAAATTATATCAGGTAACAAGTCTATAGCTGTTGATTGAATTTGTAAGTCTCTGTGTAGGAGAAACAAATTGTAAAGGGAAGTGATGAGAATTATCACATTAAAATTTAGTCAATATTAACAAATGATTATCTTCTCATTGTTTTGAGATGGCGCGGTTGTTCATCCAAAGTTAGGCTGCAGAAACAAGACACAGTTTGATAAGATCCAATGTAGACACATGTAATTTGACATCGTACTTTGTTGAAGGTTAGACAGTGTTATGGAGCTTCAAGACCAGATGTTGTTCGTGCAAGACTCAAGCTATGATGCAACTGATATCCAATTGTCTTAAGAAGGATTCATCTTAGGTTATTTACATGAGACTGTCGAGACAAAATCTAATTTCTAATTTCTGTAATCATTGATCAGGGCAGAAGTAAGCAAAATCTGCGCCAAGGGCAAAGCTTTAACTAAGGTCCCTTCTTACCATAAAAGGTACGTTTTCGTGAAATATGACGATTTAACCACCCCTTCCGGATAGCGTATGGGGGTTTTGACCCCTTGGCCACCCCCCTTTCACATGATCCGGCCATTTATGTTTATTGATGAGCCACTGTTTCGTGACGATGGTGTAGATGACAAAATATGACGATGGTGTAGATGACACAATATGATGACGGTGTAGATGACACAATATAACGATGGTGTAGACGACACAATATGTTAGAATGGATATTTAGGAAGTGGTTAATGTTAAACTGGATATTTAGGAAATGGGTAATGTTAGACAGGATACTTAGACTTTGATGTTAATAAATCGTTTATCCTTTATTAAAATTTGACATTTGTCACCAGTTTCACCTATGTAACTAGATTGGCATCTACGGCTCACAATCGCATATATTACATTACGTCTGACACAGGTGAAACCCTCTTTAATGGTAAAGGTACCTTTAGGGACACTAAAGCTTTCAGTTTGGAGTGTAAAGGGACAAGTCCTGCAGCGGCTTCTAAAGCATGGTTTATTACCAACGTTAGCCGTCATCTATGGAAAGCTTTAATATAATGCAACACTATAAAGCATAAATATAAAGCATCAATGTTAAGCATCAATATAAAACAACAATATAAATCATCAAAATATCGCAACAAAATAAAGCAACAATATAGAGCATCAATATAAGGCAACAATATAAAGCATCAATATAAGGCAAAAAAGATATTGCCTCAATATAAGACAATAATAAAAAGCATCAGTATAAAGCATCAAAATAGAGCAACAATATAAAGCACAAATATAAATCAACAATATAAAGCAAAAATTTAAAGAAACAAAATAAATCCTCAATATAATGTATTACAATAGGCCACAATATAAAGACACAATATAAAGACACAATATAAAGACACAATATAAAGACACAATATAAAGACACAATATAAACCAACAACATAAGGCAACAAAATAAAACAGCAAAATAACCCATTAATATAAAGCATCAATATAAAGCATCAATATAAAGCATCAATAGAAAGCATCAATAAAAAGCTCGTTTAAAGGTCATAATGACCAGATATAAAGTTCAGTTTGCAATGATGTTTATTATTTCTTATGTTAATGTACACGTTTTTCCTTTAAGAAATGTACAAGTTATGAAATGAACAAAATATATTTGATAAAACCAGTGTTCGTTTAAACGAATCATGACCGTGCCAAACATCGGCTAAAGTTTTGTTATGACAGCCAGCATTAGTGTCTAGCATATACAAAGATACGTCAAGTCTAATGGCAGATTCATGATTAAGAACAGTATTTGGATACCGGTATTAATAAAATATCTCAATTTTAGGGCAAATGGCAGGTGTGCACCTCAACTGATGGGCACCTCACTTCATATGCACCTAAACTAATGGGCACTTCACTTCATGGACACCTACACTGATGGGCACCTCAACTAATCGGCAACTCACATCATAAGCGTCTCACTTGATGGACCCCTACTTGGTTGGCACCTCAACTAATGTGAGGCTCAACTGGTGAAAAGTACAACTGACAAGGATATCAACTGATGATACAGTAAAATAATTCCCTTACCCACGCAACCCTAAAAAATAATGTTTTAGAACCACTGGTATAGAAGCTTACTTGAAATAGCTATGATTTAATTGTAGTTTAATTTTTAGCATTGTCACTTTAAACAAATGTTAGCAGAAAATATAATCTTAAAAAATTCAAATGTTGTGATCTTTGGCTTTATTAAGTTGGCGATATGCATTTTGTAATTGACAACGAAGATTTTAATCGATACCGTTATGCACAGACCTTATCTTTATAAGTTAACATTTCAAGTATTTATAAATAGTACAATCCAATAAATTAGATTTTGGAAATGTAAATGATTAATGACTAGTGAGTGCATGGGAATGTTTAACTATATATGATAGAATGTGAATGTTAAACTACTGGTGATAGAATGTGAATGTTAAACTACTAGTTATAGAATGTGAATGTTAAACTACTAGTGATAGAATGTGAATGTTAAACTACTAGTGATAGCATGTGAATGTTAAACTACTAGTGATAGAATGTGAATGTTAAACTACTAGTGATAGAATGTGAATGTTAAACTACTAGTGATAGAATGTGAATGTTAAACTACTAGTGATAGAATGTGAATGTTAAAATATTAGTGATAGCATGTGAATGTTAAACTACTAGTGATAGAATGTGAATGTTAAACTACTAGTGATAGAATGTGAATGTTAAACTACTAGTGATAGAATGTGAATGTTAAACTACTAGTGATAGAATGTGCATGATTAACTATTTGGGAGAGAATGTGAATGTTAAACTACTAATGATAGAATTTGAATGTTGAACTATTTTTTATAGAATGTCAATGTTTAACTTCTTGTGATAGCATGTAAATTATGATAACAACGTGTAACAAAATGTGAATGTTTCAATACTAATGACGGAGTGTGAATATATAACAGCTAGTCATAGAATGTAAATGTTTAACTTTTTCTTATAGAATTTGAATGTTTAACTGCTAGTGATGGAATCTAAATACTAAACTACCAGAAAAAGAATGTTAATGTTTAAATACTAGTGATAGCATATGAATGTTTCAATATTTTTTATAGAATTTTATGGTTTAACTGCTATTTATGGAATGTGAATATTTAACTACTAGTGATAGCAACAATTGTCTGACATATTTTTTGTTTTTTGGGCATGTATTTGGAATGGTCCTCTCACAATATAAACATTATCCTGATTTAATTAGGTGAAATTAATAAAATCCTAACACATATTTCTGGTTTCTAGTGAAATAATTAGTTATAGATATAATCTTCCTGCTTGACAAAATCATGTTTTATGTGTTGTACTTTTGATGTTGTCAACAAATGACGGTCTTAGGAATCGCATCACATCTTTTGATTGTGCTCTAGGCCGAAAGAACACCAATGGCCATGGCTAATCCATGGAACATCAGAAGGACATCTGAAAATTGATATTAAAAAGTGAATAAATCTTTGTTTGGTTTGTGAACGGAACTGCTGGCACTGCCCCTCCCCGAAAAATCTGAAGTGCCCCCCCCCCCGAATATCTGAAGTGCCCCCCGGGGGGAAATTTCTGTAAGAAACACTGTTTGGAGGAGGGGCATGAAGGTACATATTGCCCAGTGGGATAGGATAACAGATTGTCAGGTACGTAAAAATTGTTTTCCAGTAACCAGTGACATAATCAACATTTCAAAATATGTACTACAAATTTTATCACTTCATGATTATTCAAAACACAAAATTACTTACAACAGCTCAATGAAACAAATATTGTAATGACATTATTAGAAACAAACTCTTGTTTTTGACTGAGTTTGTTTTATTTTACAAACAAATAAACAACAAACAACCAACAAACCAACAACCCACAAATAACCAACACCACATTTTCTAACTCTGAAACAAACGTTCCTTATTCACTATTGACAACATCCAACAATCGCTAGGCCAAGAAACAGCTCAGGCCAAGAAACAGCTCAGGCCAAGAAACAGCTCAGGCCAAGAAACAGCTCAGGCCAAGAAACAGCTCAGGCCAAGAAACAGCTCAGGCCAAGAAACAGCTCAGGCCAAGAAACAGCTCAGGCCAAGAAACAGCTCAGGCCAAGAAACAGCTCAGGCAACAGTCGCATATTATTTACGGGATCGCTTGAAGTGTATGTCAACATTACAGCTGCTGACGTAACGAATGTCCTTAAACCAAATGTGGTGGTGGACAAACTGTCATTGTGCGACTGTGTGGGTTTGTATGTGTGTGTCTTCATATGTCAATGAGTGTAAGACACATAGCAAATGTTATAAATTATCATAAATTGAAAGAAAAATCCACACAATCGACTATGCTATAAATAAATCAAACTATATTCATATTATGTATGATATTACTTAATACTTATACATAAAAATAATGATTAAATGTATATAGAATAGAATGTGTCGCTACCTTTTCGGGACCTAATGCCAGGTACGCTATTCACAGCTGCATATTTCATATTGGTATAAAACTGATCACAGAAATAATCATACTTTGTGTCATAGTACGACTGTGCTTCTGTTTCAATGATAGAGGAAAAGAGGAGTTTTTTTTTTTTTTTAGATGTGAACAAGAATTTATCCAAGCTGGACATCACACAAACTAAGGTTGTTAAGAAAATGTTTGTGAACCGAGTCAGTCATCAGCATAACAATGTTAGTGAACCGAGTCAGCCATCAGCATAACAATGTTTGTGAACCGAGTCAGCCATCAGCATAACAATGTTAGTGAACCGAGTCAGCCATCAGCATAACAATGTTAGTGAACCGAGTCAGTCATCAGCATAACAATGTTAGTGAACCGAGTCAGCCATCAGCATAACAATGTTAGTGAACCGAGTCAGCCATCAGCATAACAATGTTAGTGAACCGAGTCAGCCATCAGCATAACAATGTTAGTGAACCGAGTCAGTCATCAGCATAACAATGTTTGTGAACCGAGTCAGTCATCAGTGTAACAATGTTTTGTTTTTCAAGTACTGAATGTTGCCTTAATTAAATCTATGAAAACTTCTGAGAGCCTTTTTGAACCTGTTTACTTAAAATGACTTTCTTCTTGCTGCTTATAATTTCCCTATAGAACGTCTCATCTCTTTACGCATAAAATACTTTCTCTAAGTCCAGACAAGAATGCAAGTCGAGACTACGTTCCTGTACTCGGCCCGATACTGCTACAACTTCATTGGAAACTTAGTTCATAATTTTGTTTTGCCATAAATATCTTGCCCTTTGATTAAGATTAAAACAAAATAGACAAAGCACACATGTCTTGTTATATTAATTGTACAATTCACATAAAGAATTTCTTTCTTTCTCATGGAAATCAAATTAACCCAACTTCTGTAGCTAACACATTCATAGCATTCAAGATATTTGGACTGTCCTTAACTTCATCTTAATACACACATACAATCTATCTTCTACAGGGTTTCTCATTATCTTTCCCGAAAGCCACACAAGCAACCTTTTTTTACCCCCCCCCCACCTACCCATGTCAACCAGTCTCATATTTTTAACTTTACTTCAATTCGCGTTAATTTTTAAAAAAAATTAACTTAACTTAAACCCTAAATTATTTATAATGTCTAGTGTATTAAGTTTTATAAACTTAAATTATAAAATTTTTCTTTAAATAATATATATATATAAAAAGACAAGCAGGAAATGGTCTTATCATTTACCACTAAACCCCTTTAAACGAATCTCTTGAGACAGTCCCTTCAGTCCATGATCATCAATAATAGTAAGCCAATCTTCGATCACTTGAACGTCAGCCAAGAAGACCCTTATGTTGCAGTTCCTCACAGTATAGTATTTAGGTAGCTCCATGCGAATTATACGCTCTCCAATTTCAGTAGTGTAACAGCGAAGACCTTGTTTGATAGGGCCTTCCTTAGACTTCGCTTCTGAAGTTGCACAAGATTTCAATGGTACCGTATGTCCCTGATAATAAACAACCATAAAATAAAGGATATTTTTTTTAAAAAGTGATCACCGAGGGACACATTTAAAGTAGAAATGCAAGAAAGGTTTAAAAAGCAAATTGCACTTAATGAAAAAAAAAAAATTTATATGTGTAACCCTATTATAAATGTATTGGTAAATGCACAACATTTTTTGCAAATGAGTGTGAAAATCTCTGACTCGAAGTTTTGTTGTTGTTCATCTGTCAACGTCAACTAGGACCATTTGGTCCTCCGGTTATATACAGACAGGAAGCTACTTGTCTAAAATAACTATGGGTCATAATATATATAATTAATATAGAGCCTACATATGTACTTAAAAATGGGCCAAGCTGACCATGGAACATCAGAGAAGAACCGAGGCTGTTTAAATACGTTCTTACTCTTAAAAAACAATGAAAGTTCTTTTATATTAATTGACATGAAATCGAATACATTCAAATGCGCAAAAAATGAAATGATTGCGCTTTTATTTTAGTAAACTTTAAAGTATTATTTTTATAAATTATAAAAGCATTTACTATAGCAATAAAGGAACTATTTTAAGAATTTTATCTGAAATAGAAAGTAATGAAAAGCATTTACAATAGCAATAAAGAAACTATTTTAAGAATTTTATCTGAAATAGAAAGTAATGAAAAGCATTTACAATAGCAATAAAGGAACTATTTTAAGAATTTTATCTGAAATAGAAAGTAATGAAAAGCATTTACAATAGCAATAAAGGAACTATTTTAAGAATTTTATCTGAAATAGAAAGTAATGAAAAGCATTTACTATAGCAATAAAGGAACTATTTTAAGAATTTTATCTGAAATAGAAAGTAATGAAAAGCATTTACTATAGCAATAAAGAAACTATTTTAAGAATTTTATCTGAAATAGAAAGTAATGAAAAGCATTTACAATAGCAATAAAGGAACTATTTTAAGAATTTTATCTGAAATAGAAAGTAATGAAAAGCATTTACAATTGCAATAAAGGAACTATTTTAAGAATTTTATCTGAAATAGAAAGTAATGAAAAGCATTTACAATAGCAATAAAGAAACTATTTTAAGAATTTTATCTGAAATAGAAAGTAATGAAAAGCATTTACAATAGCAATAAAGAAACTATTTTAAGAATTTTATCTGAAATAGAAAGTAATGAAAAGCATTTACAATAGCAATAAAGAAACTATTTTAAGAATTTTATCTGAAATAGAAAGTAATGAAAAGCATTTACAATAGCAATAAAGAAACTATTTTAAGAATTTTATCTGAAATAGAAAGTAATGAAAAGCATTTACTATAGCAATAAAGAACTATTTTAAGAATTTTATCTGAAATAGAAAGTAATGAAAAGCATTTACAATAGCAATAAAGAAACTATTTTAAGAATTTTATCTGAAATAGAAAGTAATGAAAAGCATTTACAATAGCAATATAGGAACTACTTTAAGAATTTTATCTGAAATAGAAAGTAATGAAAAGCATTTACTATAGCAATAAAGGAACTATTTTAAGAATTTTATCTGAAATAGAAAGTAATGAAAAGCATTTACTATAGCAATAAAGGAACTATTTTAAGAATTTTATCTGAAATAGAAAGTAATGAAAAAAAGAAAAATTAAAAAATATATATATAATATAACAATAACAAACCCAAACATATGTGTTGTATTTAGTGCGTTATAATGTGTTGTTCATCTTGCGAAATAAAGATAAAATACCGGTATATAAAAGTTTACTCTAAATCAAAACGTTAATGAGATTACAGCAGGCACTGTCTGAAGTTGAGCCGAAGTTCTACGTTTCTTTGATTCGATGACTGCGTGTGACAAAACGGATAATGTATTTTCACTTCCTTAAAATTAATACACATAATTGATTGATTTTTGTATTGTAAATATAACACAAATGTTAGCTTTTTATTTTGTAACCTTCTTTACCTATTTCGAATTTTTTTTAAAAGTAAGTTGATCAATTTATAAAATAATAAAAACTTTAGGTTAAAATGCATTTAATAAGAAAATGCCATTGAGGTTAATCGGTGCAGCGAAGCTCCATAGCAAAGTAATATTAAATAATGTACTTATCACACAACAAATTATAAAAAAATCATTTAAAGTGCTTTGACATTCTTTACTATCATCTATGTTTAACATTCTTTACTATCATCTATGTTTAACATTATATACTATCACCTATGTTTAACTTTTTTTACTATCACCTATGTTTAACAGTCTTTACTATCACCTATGTTTAACAGTCTTTACTATCACCTATGTTTGACATTCTTTACTATCACCTATGTTTAACATTCTTTACTATCACCTATGTTTGACATTCTTTACTATCACCTATGTTTAACATTCTTTACTATCACCTATGTTTAACATTCTTTACTATCACCTATGTTTAACATTCTTTACTATCACCTATGTTTAACATTCTTTACTATCACCTATGTTTGACATTCTTTACTATCACCTATGTTTAACATTCTTTACTATCACCTATGTTTGACATTCTTTACTATCACCTTTGTTTAACATTCTTTACTATCACATATGTTTAACATTCTTTACTATCACCTATGTTTAACATTCTTTACTACCACCTATGTTTAACATTCTTTACTATCACCTATGTTTAATATTCTTTACTAGCACCTATGTTTGACATTCTTTACTATCACCTATGTTTAACATTCTTTACTATCACCTATGTTTAACATTCTTTACTATCACCTATGTTTTACATTCTTTACTATCACCTATGTTTGACATTCTCTACTATCACCTATGTTTGACATTCTCTACCATCACCTATGTTAAACATTCTTTACTATCACCTATGTTTAACATTCTTTACTATCACCTATGTTTAACATTCTTTACTATCACCTATGTTTAACATTCTTTTCTATCACCTATGTTTAACATTCTTTACTATCACCTATGTTTAACATTCTTTACTATCACCTATGTTTAACATTCTTTACTATCACCTATGTTTAACATTCTTTACTATCACCTATGTTTGACATTCTTTACTATCACCTATGTTTAACATTCTTTACTATCACCTATGTTTAACATTCTTTACTATCACCTATGTTTAACATTCTTTACTATCACCTATGTTTAACATTCTTTACTATCACCTATGTTTAACATTCTTTACTATCACCTATGTTTAACATTCTTTACTATCACCTATGTTTAACATTCTTTACTATCACCTATGTTTAACATTCTTTACTATCACCTATGTTTAACATTCTTTACTATCACCTATGTTTAACATTCTTTACTATCACCTATGTTTAACATTCTTTACTATCACCTATGTTTAACATTCTTTACTATCACCTATGTTTAACATTCTTTACTATCACCTATGTTTAACATTCTTTACTATCACCTATGTTTAACATTCTTTACTATCACCTATGTTTAACATTCTTTACTATCACCTATGTTTAACATTCTTTACTATCACCTATGTTTAACATTCTTTACTATCACCTATGTTTAACATTCTTTACTATCACCTATGTTTAACATTCTTTACTATCACCTATGTTTAACATTCTTTACTATCACCTATGTTTAACATTCTTTACTATCACCTATGTTTAACATTCTTTACTATCACCTATGTTTAACATTCTTTACTATCACCTATGTTTAACATTCTTTACTATCACCTATGTTTAACATTCTTTACTATCACCTATGTTTAACATTCTTTACTATCACCTATGTTTAACATTCTTTACTATCACCTATGTTTAACATTCTTTACTATCACCTATGTTTAACATTCTTTACTATCACCTATGTTTAACATTCTTTACTATCACCTATGTTTGACATTCTTTACTATCACCTATGTTTAACATTCTTTACTATCACCTATGTTTAACAGTCTTTACTATCACCTATGTTTGACATTCTTTACCATCATCTCAAGTATTCTTGCCACGTTGCCATATCATTCCAGTTTGCGCTCTCTTAAAGTCACCAGCGTTTACATGAATGATTAAAATTATAAAACATTATACAGCATTTAATGTTTGGGGCGGACTTTTGAAAATTCATCCCAAGTGCATTAACCAAGGTACGCCACTCTTACGTTCCACATAATATCACTTGTAGTTTGAGGTCAACTTTTGTAAAATAATAAGACTTAAATGGGTTTTTTTTTTAAAGGCTTTATATTTTATCTTCGCTTTTTCTCTAAATGGCATTTGTTGACATTTGACATTTGACATTGGACATTTGATTGTATGCCTCTCGCTTTACAAATGGGTATCTCTCAAATTCATGTTGATGCTTACAGTTTAGGGATAATGCATAACTAATTTTACCTTATTTTTCCAAATATCCCCCTAGTTTTATGATATTTTACGTCTGTATATTTCCTAGATGTCAATCAAATGTCGCTACAAATAAGTTTAAAATTAAAATAACGTTTAAAAGACCCTTTCCCTAGAGCTGTCCGAATTTGTCAAGAGTCAATGTCACTAGAAATTCTCAGTTCACCTTAGAGCATTCATTAGTTTTACAGCTCTCCTCGACAAATTAAGTTATTAATTTCTTTATCAGCTGACCTTAACACATTAACTGTTTATTTTTGTGTTTTTTTTCTCAAGGAAATATCCGTTGAACTTACCACCACCCAGCTTCCATCTTTTGCTCCTTTTTTAACACCCAGGCCGTGACCCAGAAAATAGGGACACTTATACTGACAAACGATGTGGCTCGGCAGATTTTCAAATGTCTCTCCGTTGCTCAGAAAATAATCCATTTGAGCTTTAATAGGACTAAAACAAGTTTGTTTGTTGTTTGGATCTCTGACAAATCCTGTCAAATAGATGATTATACAACTCGTCTCTGTGGAATGTAAGGGAAATATAAGATCAGAAAAGAAATTAAATGTTCATTGTAGTGTATAATCTATGAACATAACGACTGTAATTTGTAGCGTAATCAGAATCGTGCATACGGAGGAACAAACGCAAGTTTCTGACTTGATTGCCCTTGTAGTGACACTAAACCTGTGAGAAGTACAAGCCATGTACCTCTTGGTTTTGATTGTAATGTATTTTGACTGTTTTTATGAGCGATAAAAATTTGCACAAAACATTTTAAAAATAAAAGTTGAAACAAATATATTTTATTGAAAATTTTAAGTCCATTATATATTGTAAATTGAGAGACAACTCTAGTCGTGCACTCATTATTAAGTCACGCCTACGTGTAAAGAAGTATTTTTCATTAATGTATCTACACTATATATAAGCATGAGCTTTGCTGACCTAAAGCCAAAGAACCGAAGATATTTAAATATGTTCGGATTCATAAAAAAAACTATTATAGTTATTTTCTATTACTTTACGGAAATGGAATAAATTTTAATGCGCAAAAAATGTTATATATCCCCTTTCATTTTAAGCAAAAGTTTAAGCATCATTATAATAAATTACAAATACATTTACATTATCAACTAAGGAACTATTTTAAGCATCTTATATGCGTTTGAAAGTTATGAAAAATTACACCGTAATCACATTTTTTTACGAAATCCCAAACATCGTTGCTTTTAGTGTGGTTAAGTGCGTTGTTGATATTGCGCATTAAAATTAACATTATTTCATTCTAAATAATCACGCAAATGACGTAATAGCGCTAAGTGCCAAAGCTAAAAGTTATTTGATTTAATAACAGCGCGTGACAAAACTGATAACGTATTTTCCACTTCTTAAAATTAAAATTAATGCATGTAAATGATTGCTTTTTAAATTGTGAATAAAACACACAAAAAATATAAGATTGGTATTTTTAACTTTTAATAAATTATTTTTTTAATTCCAAAAAATTGTGTTTTTTTAAATTTATAATGTTATAAGAACTTAACCTTTAAATATAGTTTTAATAAGAAAATACCGTTTATGGCAATCGGTGCAGGGAAACTCCATAGCCAAATTGCACTTTTAATGAATTAATAACTCATTCAAATAAGAACAAATGAAGTACAAATACTGTGTGATTGCGTATGGATGGGGCTACGATCCGATGGAAGATTTGATTAAAATCTGGGGGGGGGGGGGGGTTGGGGGGTTTGGTGATACTTTCATTTTCCCCAGGTATTCAAATAAGAACAAATGAAGTACAAATACTGTGTGATTGCGTATGGATGGGGCTACGATCCGATGGAAGATTTGATTAAAATCTGGGGGGGGGGGGTGGTTGCGGAGTTTGTTGATACTTTCATTTTCCCCAGGCAGCACAAGATACGTCCCAGAAAAAAGAAGTGAAATTGATCAATAATTAGCCATCTTAGTTACATGCAAAGTGGGATAGACCATGGGATGTTCCTTTTTTACGTGGATGGGAATACAATTAAATCCCATGGTATGACATTTTTAAAATAAAAAAAAGATGTTATTTTCTCTTTCTACAAATACACATATTATGTTTACTAATTAATAAAATTAATGGCGTTAACAAAACGTGGGTTCATTTATATAAGTATACCCATAAATGTCAAAACCCAATCAATTAACACACTTGAAAATTTAATTTTTTTTAAATATAAATGGGATACTATTTTTTTTCCTTCAAAAAATTACAATAGTTATTTATTTTTATTTTGCGATAAGAAAGATTTCATTATCATAAAAGAAAAAAAAAAATTACGCACCCATCGCAGTTTCGTTATATATTTAAAAAAAAAAAATATCATTTAACGTAGATATCGGGAATTACATTTGACGCGCTATTGAGCTAATTATTGAACCATACTTTCTTTCGAACATTTAGAATTATTTGTAATATACTCCCAATACCAAATTCGCTGATAAGGAAGCAGTAAATTAGGAAGCAGCCAGTGTTAGGAGGTAGTCCACGAGTCACACCAGAAGCGTTATATAGATAAGAGATTACAGACAAGTCAATATTCAGAGGGCATATTATGCGTGTCTGTCGACATATTGGCTACCTGTATTGACCTACCTCGTGGGCTGTACATTAAAGCAATCACTAGACACAGTAAACCATAGGGTCTCATTTCCAGCGCTCTCTCTCCCTAAATGCTTTATAAGGTAACCTGAAAATGATAACAAAATATGTGTTAACATGTTAAATTTTTGACACAAGTCCCTTTGTCTAATTGTGTAGATAGCTGTCCAAGTTTATTTGTGTTGATAGCTGTCCAAGTCTATTTAATTAGATAGCTGTCCAAGTCTATTTATGTAGATAGCTAATTCTATTTTTTAGGCAACTGACCAAGTCTAATTGTATTTTTGTCTGTCCAAGTCTTTTTGTGTAGATAGCTGTAGGAGTCTATTTGTTAAGTTATATCATTGTAGGTAGTTGTCCAAGTCTAGTTATGTTGTCAGCAGTCTAGTCTATTTGTGTAGGTAGGTGTACAAGTCTTGTTGTGTAAATAGCTGTCCAAGTCCATTTATTTAGTTATCTGTTCTAGTCTACGTTTGTAATCCTCCTTTACATGTCTATGTGTGTTACACAGCTGTACAAGTGTATCTCTGTAGGCAGTTGTCAATGTCTATTGGTGTAGATAGCTGTTCAAGTCTATTTCTTTACGCAGCTGTCAAATTATATTTATGTAGGCAATTGTCCAAGTCTATTCGTCTAGGCAGTTGTCCAAGTAAATTTGTGTAGTCAGTTGTCCAAGTATATTTTTGTAACCAGCTGTTCAATTCTTTTGTGTTATGCAGCTGTTTAAGTCTACTGATATTAGTAGCTTTCCAGGTCTATCAGATTAGGCTGTCCAAATTTTGGTGTACGGCAGTGGTGGGCAAATTGCGGCTCTTCAGCGACCTGGTGCTTCACTTTAGATCTACGGATTTCATGTAAACCATCCTTTTCAGGCATGAAGCTCATCAAGAGAAAACTTAGAAACCGTCTTACTGATGAGAATCGGGGTTCTGCTTGAAATTAAAAACAAGGACATACAAACCAAACTTATCTGAACTTTCAAAGGAGATCCAAGGTTATAGTTCACATTAATTGCGTGTTTTATTTAATATGATGATTATTTTCATATCTGGTTCATATTAATGTTTAAGGCGTGTTTTGTATTTAATTTACTAATTAAGATCATGATCACCTTCATGATATAGTCACACATCTTCATGAGAACTAATAAGTCCCCGATTTGGCTAAGAGAGCTCACTGAATGGCTGTTTGAGATAACTTATCATAAATTTCTTGTCTACAAATTGTTTTATTTATGTGCTGAACATGTTTAATGCAATCAAAAACATTTTCATTTATTTTGATCAATAAAAGAATCTTATCTCATCTTATTATATATGGTTGTATTTATCGTTTAGCAGCTAGGTTAACTCGACTCCGATAAACATGGCTCTTGACAGGTTCTTGAAAAGAAATGTGGCTCTCAAAAAAAATTTGATCGTCCTGCTGCTGATATTTGGCTCTTTTACTAACTAATTTGCCGACCACTGGAGTAGGCATTTGTGTAAAAAAGACGCTCAACAATCACTTTACGGCAGCGACCAAAAAGACCAGAGAGTCTGACGAAAGCCAGAACATCAAATACCAGAGGGAAAAGAGCGATTGAGTCCAACGAGTTGGTCCTCATCAATACATGTTCACGGCTCCCTTCACGGAGCTATAATTTCTGAAAGTCCTCGGAAGTTGCAAAACAGCAAAAGCACCAGATCCAGATAGGTCCCCAAGGAGGGGCTACATACCTGGGCATTGAGGCTCTAATGGTCCAAACGAATAGGGCATGGACTACATGCTATAAGGGGGAAAAGTCATAGTTATTTCATTTCCCAAAGATGTGAATCCAGACCATCTCAGGTCCAACTACAGACCGATATCCCAAACATCGTGTGTAGCTAAAATAGCTGAACGTATAGTGCATGTGCGATTTTACTGTTCTCTAGAGAAAAATATGAGCTTACCCCCCCCCCCCGACAAAATGCGTCTTCCGAAAGTCAAACGTCTCGCCCAATCGCCTACCAATGAAATCTTACCATGGCGGTGTTCTTTGCTCTCCAACATGATTTCACTGTTCTCCAGAGAAAAATATGAGCTTACCCCCCCCCCCCCGACAAAATGCGTCTTCCGAAAGTCAAACGTCTCGCCCAATCGCCTACCAATGAAATCTTACCATGGCGGTGTTCTTTGCTCTCCAACAAGCGTAATGTAAAGTGATGCACGGGCCATAAGTATAAGCAGCAGTATATAAAAATTTCTGCAAAATTTTATTTGTGGTTTAAGGAGATCCTAAAAAAAAACAACTTTGGTCACTAGGTATGGCGAGAAGCTATCAAATCTAAACCTACTTGGAGACGGACTTCCGCAGCGATCCGACAGAAGCTGCACACTATTCTTCGACTACGTACATGACCTACAGGCAGTGTCGGAGACTCTGAACGCCATGTCCGTGGATGACTTAGTAATATAGAGCTCGGGCGGCAAGAACGTTTAACAGCTGCAGACCCGGCTGTAAGACGCGAAACAGCTGTAGGCCCGGCTGTAAGACACCAAATAGCTGTAGACCCGGCTGTAAGACACGAAACAGCTGTAGGCCCGGCTGTAAGACGCAAATTGGATGACTTAGTAATATAGAGCTCGGGCGGCAAGAACGTTTAATAGCTGCAGACCCGGCTGTAAGACGCGAAACAGCTGTAGGCCCGGCTGTAAGACACCAAATAGCTGTAGACCCGGCTGTAAGACACGAAACAGCTGTAGGCCCGGCTGTAAGACGCAAAACAGCTGTAGGCCCGGCTGTAAGACGCAAAACAGCTGTAGATCCGGCTGTAAGACGCGAAACAGCTGTGGGCTCGGCTGTAAGACGCGAAACAGCTGTAGGCCCGGCTGTAAGACGCGAAACAGCTGTAGGCCCGGATGTAAGACGCGAAACAGCTGTAGGCCCGGATGTAAGACGCGAAACAACTGCAGACCGGGATTTAGTACGACCTAAACAGGGTAGAAGTCTACATAGCTTGTTAAAAAAGGTCATAAGCACAGAAAAGACGGTCAATTTTATTTTGACTAATGGACACAATGGCAGACTGAAATGAGGAGCCTCTAAGGACGGTAAATTCTTACTCGAACCATACGGTTAAAGTCTTCGAGGATGGCTCATGCTTTGCTACTGAATAGAATGGTGGACACGGTGCACTCATCCAGTACCATGGAGAGGTATCTCCGACAGGGGAGATATCAGAGGTGGCATCAAACAAGTGCAACAACTCCTCGAGAAATGAACAAGTTTACCAGACATTGTTGTCTTCACCGACCCACGCTTTGTTCTTGGAAGCGTTGGAGCCTCCAGTCACAAACGCCAATTTTTGAGAAAGAAGATTGCGTCCACGACCAATGTGAAAATGATTTCCTTCAGTGGATCCCTTGCCCCCTTGAGATGATGCAGAACGACGCGTTAAATAACCTGTGTGTGTGAATGTGCAGAACAGCTCCAACACGACAGGCCCATGAATAAACTGGGAGTCAAAGCCTTGGCTTAAAGACGACTTCTGCGAGAGGTGCCTAGGAGACTAAGGTGACTAAGAGTCTGGGCAGCAGAAGACACTGAACGAAAGTTAAAACTTAAGCATTACGTACAGGCCTAGTAATGTACATGAGGCCGGAACACTGTCCGACATGAAGCTACTTAAAGCGATTTGAATCGAGCAGGGACGACTTAAACTGCCGACTCTCTGACCTGGCCACCGAAAGAGTGGAACACCTGCTAGTCGGCTGCTCCATGAACAAGGTCGGTGGGTTGCAGCAGTTTTGAACACGGAAACGTGTGTTAATAAATTCATTTACATAGATGCCCATGTGATGAGGCTGGCCGTTGACAAAATAGCCAGGGTAGCAAGAGCGTGATTTAACCACAACATGAGGATGGAATATATCTAGTAAAATGTTAAAATCAAAATAGCAAATTACTTACCTATTAAATTTTTTTCTTGTGTTTCTTTTCGTTCTATTTATAAAATGTATATTTAAAGTATGAAGTCAAATATTTCAATTTAAATGTAGCAATAGCAATATTTTTTCTATGTTGTTTTTGCGACTTATTTCTAAAGCCTTGTTGCTGTTTCCGACCAGGGTGATGAGGTTGTGACGTCTTAAACACTTTGTGTGCAATTAAAAAAATGGAACGGTAATTTGTCATGGCTCAAAGCTATTAGTTTTTGAATTGATGAACTGGTATCCAAGGACGCTACATTTTTAAAATAACAAATGATAATCAAAATAAAATGATGCATTTACGGCGTAGTGATAACGGATTAAAACAAAAGTAGTGATTACGTATTAAAGCAAATAACATTAAAATTTTAATGATCAAATTTCGTTACACTAAATACAGTAAAATGCATTATTATTGGCGAGTGTTTGTTATGACGTCACTCCCTGGAGCAAGTCCACTGCATAACACCAATAGTTTCCTGCACGGTATGACACCATTATTTTATAGCATGCAATGCTGTCAACTCAATCTGCAGTGTAAAATGTTATGGGGCATTGATATATTAATATAGTTCAGTGGTGATAACCCATCGAGGTTGGGGGGGGGGGGTGTACTAATTGGTAATCTCACAAAAGTGCGGTTGACTTATGGTGTCACGCTGTGCTGTAAAATCATGGTAACGTATTAATATAGTGCTGCAAAAAATGGTGTCATGCAGTGCTGTAAACTCATGGTTTCATACAGTGCTGTAAAATAATGGTGTCATTCAGTGCTGTAAACTCAAAGTATCATACAATGCTGTTATTAATGGTGTCATAAAGTGCTGTAAAATAATGGTGTCATGCAGTGCTGTATACTCAGGGTTTCATAGACTGCTGTAAAATAATGGTGTCATACAGTGCTGTAAACTCAGGGTTTCATAGACTGCTGTAAAATAATGGTGTCATACAGTGCTGTAAAATAATGGTGTCATGCAGTGCTGTAAAATAATGGTGTCATACAGTGCTGTAAAATAATGGTGTCATTCAGTGCTGTAAAATAATGGTGTCATACAGTGCTGTAAAATATTTGGTGTCATACAGTGCTGTATACTCAGGGTTTCATAGACTGCTGTAAAATAATGGTGTCATTCAGTGCTGTAAAATAATGGTGTCATTCAGTGCTGTAAAATAATGGTGTCATACAGTGCTGTAAAATAATGGTGTCATACTGTGCTGTAAAATAATGGTGTCATACAGTGCTGTAAAATAATGGTGTCATACAGTGCTGTAAACTTATAGTGTCACGCTGTGTAATAAAGTCATTTGTTACGCAATGCGGTAAACTGATGATGCCATGCAGTGTGTTCATTTGATGATGTCATGCAGTGTGTTCAACTGATGATGTCACGCAGTGATGTAATCTCATGGAGTCCATACCTCCAAACATCCCCTTTTAGCTCCTGCTTCTCTGTGGTGTCAGCCGACTGAGAGGTTGTCGTCCTGTGCTGTATGGACCCCCCCCCCCTTTCAGCCGACTGAGAGGTTGTCGTCCTGTGCTGTATGGACCCCCCCCCCTTTTCAGCCGACTGAGAGTTTGTCGTCCTGTGCTGTATGGACCCCCCCCTTTCAGCCGACTGAGAGGTTGTCGTCCTGTGCTGTATGGACCCCCCCCCCTTTTCAGCCGACTGAGAGTTTGTCGTCCTGTGCTGTATGGACCCCCCCCTTTCAGCCGACTGAGAGGTTGTCGTCCTGTGCTGTATGGACCCCCCCCCCTNTCAGCCGGCTGAGAGGTTGTCGTCCTGTGCTGTATGGCCCCCCCCCTTTCAGCCGACTGAGAGGTTGTCGTCCTGTGCTGTATGGACCCCCCCCCCCTCACCACCTTCTTACTACCATAGCCCAAACCTGAAGTAGTTGAGCTCAAGGATCTTTACTACAAATTTAATATTAACTGATATTTAATGGTCGAATTCATTATCAAATAGTCTTTAAATTACCTTAAAAATGTTTCATACTGTATGTAGAATAGATTGACTAGGTTTTCTAATAAACTAACTATTTCTGCTCCCCTCAGCATTTCGAAGTGTCATGTGGTCGCCAGTTTCTAGTCCATGCTATTGGATGTTTATATCAAGTAAAAAATGTGATGTTTCTGTCAATGCTTTTTCCTCTTTATTAGTCACTAATGTAATATTTCTGTCAATGCTTTGTCCTCTTTATTAGTCAATAATGTAATTTTTGCTCTTCATCTTTCTGTTATTATTTGTATTTTAAATCTGTCAACATTTTAAACCTTGGACTTTTCATTAATTTTAATTATGCTCACATTAAGTTTCTATACCACAGTGATTCCCCGTGAGTTATTCGCGGTGCCCTAGAGGGCGTTGTCCTCCTCACTGTAGTGCCATGAGTTAATGGTCGCGGTGCCCTAGAGGGCATAGTCCTCCTCACTGTAGTGCCATGAGTTAATGGTCGCGGTGCCCTACAGGGCATTGTCCTCCTCACTGTAGTGCCATGAGTTAATGGTCGCGGTGCCCTAGAGGGCATAGTCCTCCTCACTGTAGTGCCATGAGTTAATGGTCACGGTGCCCTAGAGGGCATTGTCCTCCTCACTGCAGTGCCATGAATTAATGGTCGCGGTGCCCTAGAGGGCATTGTCCTCCTCACTGTAGTGCCATGAGTTAATGGTCGCGGTGCCCTAGAGGGCATTGTCCTCCTCACTGCAGTGCCATGAATTAATGGTCGCGGTGCCCTAGAGGGCATTGTCCTCCTCACTGCAGTGCCATGAGTTAATGGTATTAACATGACTGACTTTTATTATTTAAATTTATTTCAATGAATTATCGCTCGACATCTGGATCAACTATTGTAAACTTGTAATATGCTTACAAATAATTGCCGAGAAAGCCTTTAAAATTGTGACTAATCGCGCTTTTTTTTAAAATTGTAGAAATGTATTTTCAATTTTTTTTTCAGACTTTAACGCCTAAAAACCGTTATTCCTGACATAATGTACTAAACTTTGATAAAATGCACCTTAGTAAAACATTGGGTTGTCAAGGGTGACAAGAATCGAAACCGTTGGGGAAATACTCATGTTATGAATAATTTAGCGAACTATAGTTTTATGGAACATTATGGAAAAAAAATGTATCAATAGGAATATTTAAATTATCGACAAATGCAAAACAAAGCAGCAAAATATAGCAAGAATCTGAAGCAAAATATATGGCAACAGTATAAAGCACCTATATAAAACATCAATAAAAAATCAACATGAAGTATCAATATAAAGATAATTTAAAGATCATGATGACTAGATTACAACTTCAAATTGCAATTATTTTTATTATCTCTTATCTTATCTTAATGAACACGTTTTTTCTTTCAAGAAACTTACAAGATATTAAATTATCAAATGTATATAATAAATCAGTGTTCCTTTAAGTCAATCTTGATGATGCAAAACATCCACTAATGATTTGTTACGACAGCAAGCTTTAGTGTTAAGCATAACGGTCGGGCAAACACTGAGCTCTGTGAGGTCTTTGCTCAGCACCACTTGCTCGAGTGGTGTTACAAGGGATTTTGCCTCTTCGTGGCGTGACCGACTAGTAGGGGGGGGGGTTCCCTTCTGAAGCTAAAAAATCCCAGTCAAACGCATGACTTGCTACGCAACGGAAGTTGAACGCTAACATGATTACTGTTGCCGTTGATGGGTATGAGGCAGTGGGTGGCCGCCCAAAACCCATGCTAATGATTAAAAAGACGCGGCCTTGAGAAAGCCGCCCCTAGGCGACCGTTTCGTCCCCGCTACGTCCTGACCGGACATCTCCCTGGGGGGTGGGGAGTGGTAACGCAACACCACCTCTCCGGAGACTATGTAAAGCAGTCATGTCCCACTGGAGAGTGGACTACGGACGCTTTAAACGCAGCGCCCTCGGTCCGCCGGACGTCCCTCGGGCAAGGAGGGAAGTTCCTGGCGCGCCTCCGCACGGTCTGGAGCTTCGGCTCTGGCCCGTTTGGGGGAGTGCCGGGGGGTATATGAGTGCTAAACTCGACGACCCACCGACACCATCTACAAAATGATGTTATTAGTGTTAAACATATACAATGCTAAGAAAAATCAAATGGCAGGTTCATAATTAAGAAGAGTATTTGGATATCAACTTCATATCTCAACTTAAGAGCAAATAAATGATGGGCACATGAACTGATGGGCACATGAACTGATGGGTACATGAACTGATGGGCACATGAACTGATGGGCACATGAACTGATGGGCACATGAACTGATGGGCACATGAACTGATGGGCACATGAACAGATGGGTACATGAACTGATGGGCACATGCACTGATGGGCACATGAACTGATGGGCACATGAACTGATGGGCACATGAACTGATGGGCATATGAACAGTTGGGTACATGAACTGATGGGCACATGGACTGATGGGCACATGAACTGATGGGCACATGAACTGATGGGCACATGGACTGATGGGCACATGAACTGATGGGCACATGAACTGATGGGCACATGAACTGATGGGCACATGAACTGATGGGCAACAAGTGGAAACCTCTACTTTTGGGCACCTGGTAGACACCAAACTGACGGACACTTAACTAATAGGCACCTGATAGGCACCTGGTGGACGCTTAACTAATATGCACCTGGTTGATACCTAAAATGATGGGCACCTTGAGGGCTCTAACTGATGGTCACCTAACAGATGGCAGCCTCTCAGATGAGCAGCCCAACTGATGGGCACCACAGTTGATGGTCAACTCAAATAATCAGCACCTGGACTGCTGGGTGGTAAAACTGACGGGGATATCAATCTATTGTACAGTTAATAATGCTACGACCTTACAGCATTTAAAAATACAGATTGAGAACCACTGGTAAAGAGGCCTCTGCTAAATGACTCTAGTGTTATTGTTAGTGTAATTAAAAGAATAGACATATTCAACAATTTTCAGCAGATAATTTAATCTTAAACTTAAATTTAGGAAACTTTGACTGTATTAGACTGGCGAATACACATTTTATATTGAAATCACACTATTTTCTGATACCGCCATGTAAATAATTTATAAATCCAAAATAACATTTTGAAGTATTTATAAATAGTCCAATTTAATTGATAATTATGTTAAATATGTGTTAATAAACTA